ATAATAATAATAATAATAAAAAAAATTATTCTTACATCTCACATGAGAGGAGTTGTGCCTAGTTGTACTCTGTCTCCTAAATACACCATTATTGCACGGCATGGTTTACAAGGGATGCTCCGTGCCCAACAGAAGTGGTGTCCTCCTGACCCTTCTGGGGCTGATCTAGCACATGCACATGGAAGCTCCCACTGCAAGTGTAATTTAAACCTTAATCCTTGTGAGATGCCATGAATGTACTGACAGTGAGAGGCAGGTGACATGTGAGACGTGAGAAAGCAAGGTGCAGAGGCCCCAGGTTTATATCCCACCAGCTCTGTGCAGCTGCAGTCCAGCCACATTAACTAGAATTTAATGCAGAGTTGTAGAAGGCTCCCAAAGACCTGGCAGGAACCTGGAGCCACCTAGCTCAGCAGTCCTCTTTACGTTGAGATATATGGTTATGAAGTATACATGAGATTACATCCTGGTGGTGCCCTTCATTTTCACTGATTGTAAAGGGATTTTAGATTAACCAGTTCAGAGCCAGACTCAGTATGCAGACATCTCAGGCAGGATTCAGTTACCCCCCAAATAATTGTGTCATTTGAGATGAACTGGGGTGTTCACTTGGATTCTAGATGCTGCTGTAGAAGAGTGAGAGTTTTCCTACATCCCTTCTCATACCTGCTATCTCTGCGGGGATGTCCTGTTGAGCATGGGGTGTATTAGATGTCTGTGTGTGAGCAAACACATCAAGCTTTAAGTGTCTGCTACTGACAGCTGAATCACTCTCTAGGATCTGTCAACTAATGGTAGGATTCAGTCACCTCAGTTTAGATGCATAGTGCTACCTGAGATGCTCTGAAGTATCCAGTTTTTAGGTTCAGTTTTTAGAAATGAAAAATTTACGGTGCTTCCATGGATTTCTTTGCAGGAACAGTGGTAGAGAAAAATCTAACCACTTGTACAGACACAGATTTACCAGAAAGGGAGAATAAAAGAAGAATTAGAGGGCATGTTGGTGCCTACATCTGAATTAAAAGATTTTCCAAAGCTCTGCTATTGATTTACTGCTGAATGTGCCCTTGACCATCTGTGCCCCAGTGCCTCTGTTTGTACAACTGATCCTCAGTGATTTCTATTCTCACAAAGCAAGAGGCTCTTGGGATATTTTTCCCTTTTGGATCTGCCACTCAGGCACCTATGTTTAAAAACGTTGCTTCAGGGCCAGCCATTAACATCTTGGTAGTTTGTAACGTGTGGCTTTCCCAAGGCCATGCAGCTATTCAGTGGCAGAGATACAACTGTGCCCTCATTCCTTGGGGCTGATCCCTTACAGCGACACCTGGACATCCGTCCCTGCTGCTTCTCCTCTGAGGCAGATTACGAGTTGGTATTGCTGCACGCACGTTCATGCACTCCCTCCCTCTCCATCCAGTATTACCTGTTCTTTTTGACACCCCTCAATTTCTGTTACTGCTTCCCTGGGCTGAGCCGCTTCCTGGCCCGCACAGAGGGAGGCTGAACGCGATGTCTCACGTTGCCGGATCAGGCAGCCAGTGAACACAGACCGTCTTGTGTTGTGGCTGCTCTCCGAGTGCCTTTGCTTGCATAGTACTGATGGCATCATCGGAGACGGACCTGTCAGTTTCCTGAATTTAATACCTAAAGATAAGTGGAAGTGAGGTGCAAGTCTGTGATTTTACAGTGCGTTGCTTGCTTTTGGCCAGAACCAGATACCCAGGGAACGGAGCCTGAAAAACTGTAATAGCTACAGTTAAACAATCACATGGATGATGGAGCTGCATCCTGTGCACTGACTTTTTCATGTGTTTAAAACAATCAGTGTTTTGTGACCAGTGGGGGTGTCTGCCTGCAGATCAAGGTGCAGGGAGCACTCAGCAGCGAGCTGATAAGGTCTGAAAGGGTCTCTTTGAGCCTCCTGGAATTAGCTGCCTCCTCAGCTCCAGTCTTCAACAAATAAAATCAAATCATTAACCCATGTTCACTCACCTCTCCAAAGGGGAAATGGTGTCTGGGTGAAACACAATACGAGCAGGCTTCTGAAGGAAGTCATAAACCCAGGTCTGCCCTTCCCCACGAAGGCTGGCGAGAAAGCACGTCTGTTTGCCAGGTGTGGATGGATCACTACACCATGACACCGGCAGAGGGTTGCCGGCTCTGCCTGTATTTTCCGGTCCTTATTACAAGCTTAGCTGAACTGACTGTTGATAAAGGCCTCTTTGATTTACATAAGAGAAAAGAAACCTGATTATATATTTGCTGTAGAGTAGGTGGGTGTGTCTAAGTGGTGACATGAAAGAGCAGGAGACGGGGGAGAGAAGATGCTGCCTGGATGCAGACAGGGTATGTGCTCAGCTGGAGCTACCTGAGAAGGTTTAGTTGCCCCCTCAAAAAGGGGCAAATTTGGGTGGTTTGCTGTTGAGCAGCTCCAAATTTCTGAATGCAGGTGCTCACCTGCTGGGGATAAGGCAGGGTAGGACTGGGGCACATGCCTTGTTCCTCATTCCATTTCTGTTTCAAAGCAGAGAAGAAGAAAGGGAGATCGGCCACCTTCTACCCTCTGGACAACACCCCCTTCCTGCTTCCTGTGGATGAGACACAACCGCCAGCGCTCAACAGCAGCATGGAGCCCGTGGGCGTTAGCACGGAGATGGCACTGCTCAGCAACATCCTAGCAGCGTATGCCTTTATCACAGGTAGGTCTTGCGGCTGTCATCTCTCTGGGCTCTCACAAGCTCTTTGTAGACCCTCAATTGAGCCTAAATTTCATAGTCATCTAGGGCTAGATCTGCCTCTTTGAATCGTTTATATTTTTCATTTGTCTCTCAGCAAATTTGCCCTTGAAAGACCTGACTGGGGCAGCTCTAGCAGACAGTATATAACAGAGTTTATTGTGCTCTGCTTTCCACTGGATTTGCTCTCATCTGAAGTTAAATACAATGTAATCTTACATGTGGTATTATCCCTAATGCTCCATTTTCCTGGAGATCAAAGCCTGGCTCATTAGGGAGGCAAGCTTGTTGTCCTGTAATTTGGAAAATAAGCAGTACTCAGATCATTACCCTGCTTAAGAGAATTTGGCTTATCTTCAGTAGAAGTGTGAAGATGAAGTAACTTGAGAGTCTGCTTAATTGTATATTTAAATCTAGTTTAGAGTAAGGTTTCCTTGGATCGCAGTTTATCTTTCACCCACTTGTATCTTTCAAGTAGCAGAGGAGCAGTCTTCTAATAAGATTCACTTTAAATGTCGAAATAAAGATTGTGTACCCTACTGAGTGCTTGGGGTCAATACCACTGATAGCATAAAGTACAGTAGAGGCAGGTGATATAGTGCAAATACTTCCCATCCCACAACTGCATGAGGTACCTTCTCAGCAGTAGGGAATGCCTACAGAGTTGGAGGACCTAACTCCCCAAAAAAACGGAGGAGCACTGGCTGAATAGCATCAGATGCACTAATTCAGCATATTTTAGGCCAATCTCTGCTGTTTCCTGCAGAAGGAGGGCCTTGGTTTCTGTGTAACTGGCCTCCCAAGGCAGGACATACTGTTTGTGGTCACTTTTTGTGTGGGTGTTCTCCATTTGTCCAATGAAAGGTTTGTATGCTTATTACCTTGCAATGCTTATTGCCAAGCAATAATACCTTGCTAGTAATACTAACATGTTGCTCTTTTACTACATGCTGTTAATAATTATGTGTACTGCGTCCAGTCTGCTAGGACCACTATAATGCAGTTATGCTATTCGGGAGCATTGAGGTCTATACAGCTAAAATTCCAACATTTGTGAGCGAGTTTTTCATGTCTGTGTGCCATTCAGTCTTGCTAATTCATTAAATACTAATGCATTCTTGGTGCCATGCTCTTGCTGAGATACCACCATGCTGCTACAGACAAATATTTGGATTTCATTGAACCATAGAATCATAGAATCATTTGGGTTGGAAGGGACCTTTAAAGGTCATCTAGTCCAATTCCCCCTGCAGTGAGCAGGGACATCTTCAACTAGAGCAGGTTGCTCAGAACCCTGTCCAACCTGACCTTGGATGTTACCTCTCTGGGCAACCTGTTCCAGTGTTTCACCACCCTCATCATAAAAAATTGCTTCCCTATGTCTAGTCTAAGTCTACCCTCTTTTAGAGTTTAAAACCATTACCCCTTGTCCTACCACAACAGGCCCTGCTAAAAAGTTTGTCCCCATCTTTCTTATAAGCCCCCTTTAACTATTGAAAGGCCACAATAAGGTCTCCCTGGTGCCTTCTCTTCTCCAAGCTAAACCACCCCAACTCTCTCAGCTTCACAGGAGAGGTGCTCCAGCCTTCTGATCATCTTTGTGGCCTCCTCTGGACTCACTTCAACAGGTCCATGTCTTTCTTGTGCCAGGGACCCCAGATCTGGATGCAGTAGTCCAGGTGGGGTCTGATGAGAGCAGAGAGGGAGAATGACCTCCCTCGACCTGCTGGTCAGGGATCTTTTGATGCACAAAACAACTAACTTGGGCTTTACATTTTGGAATCACTGAGTATATTAGTAAGAGTGTTTCTGCACATTTATTGGAGGGTCCTTCTAAAAGGACCATGAACGGTGAATCCAAAGTTCTGCCCCTCTACACATCCAATAGTTGCATCAGGATCTGTATTTTTGTGACACCTTTAAGAAGCAGGCAGCTTAAGTGGAATTAAGATAGCTGAGTAGGGTATAATTTTTTTTTGCATGAGCTTCATTAATGAAAGATTAGAAAATGCAAACTTTAAATGAAACTTCTGTCTATCACACTTCTTCCCCTTCTTACCTACAGCTGCCTATTTTTTGACATGAAAATACCTGCATTCCCAACCTTACTATAAAATAAAATGTTGTCAACATTATTTTCCCCATCTGAACATTAACGGACAGCAGAAAGTTATAGGATTTATGGTTGGGGACAGTTGGAACTAGGATTCAGGGCCCCTGATGATGCTCCATGGACTGTGCTTCCATTTACCACAGAAAAACTCTTTGACCCTGCATTGATTTCGTAGGGCACAAGGCCTCAATTCATCCCCTTTACAAGGTGTCAGTCTTGGCAGGAGCTTCTAGATTTTACTGTAGCACAAATAATAAATAAGGACGTCTTTAACTGTCCTGTTTCTGTGGGATTTACTTGCCCTCTCATGATGTGGTCTCCTTGTGATGTGTTCACGTCCACTGAATGTCAAATAGGTGAAACTCAGACCTCATGACTTTGGTTTCCAGTGATGAGTTTAGGAGCTTGTTGCTCATGTTTTCCAGTGCACCTAACCATGGCTGTTAGATGAGTTTTAGTCTCAATGATATATATGTTCAGTTTGTTATTTATTACAAAAATAATTGATTGAAACATAGATTGAAACAGCAGATGCCCTAAACCATCTTTATCTGCAGCATGTAATTTAGCCCTCTGCTTTTATCACAGAGGATGGATTTGGCACCATTTATTTTGTTATACGTGAATATGGAGAGGTTTTAGATTATGAGTTCAAAGACAAGCTGTGTCACAGGGCACAAATATCATCTGTATAAATGTAGAGCACTGCAAAACCACCCCCCTTCATATCGCGGATTTTGAGCAGCAGAACATTTGGAAATTTTTGTGCTTGCCTGCGTTTGGGGCCCTGAAGGTGCGCTTAAGCCACAGCAGCTGTTGATGTCCATAGAGGAGCCATTATAATGTCTCAGGAGAGACAGGGTATCGGGCGGCCAGGGAGGGCTGGTTCTGGTTCACACATCTTCCCACCGCTCCTGACCACAGCCTCAGTGCCAAAGGGAAACATTAGTGCAAGAACTGCTCTGTTTCATAACACTAAAAAGGTCCCTCAGGTAAACTCTGAAAGTTGTATAAACACTGAAAGTGCTGTATTCACGGCTTCCTCGTGCTGATGAGTTGGCTCGAAACAGGACTTTGCAAGAAAAAAAAAAACTGTAAATAGGCAGGGGCAACATATAAAGATGTTCTTTCTGTTGGGGCAGAGGGTGGTGTATATCCTCAGACCCACTCTGGGAAAAAGAAGCTATGGGCACTTGGTGTTTCATGGGTAAAGTGCATGCTTGAAAGGACGATCAGCTCTACTACTTTTCCTGCCTCTTGGCAGTGGGATGTCTCTTACTCTGGGGAAAGCATCCACAAATCACTGGTATCCCCTCTGTGCTCAGTGGTGTTCACATTTTCTGCACAAAATGAGAGGTTTGGGAGTGCAGCTGCAGACGAAGAGATTGCAGGCTTGGTCACTCGCACTGTTGGCACATGCAGAGTCTTGTCTTGCAGTGCACAGAGGGGAGGAATGCCAATATTAGCAAAAGCTTCCGTGCTCATTTGTACCATCTTTTTGACTGATGATCCCATATAAAAGTTGGGAATGTTCCTACTGAGGAGTGAAAAATCACAGCACGGCAGGAAGCAAAGCCTCTTGGCAGGAGTGTTGGTTTTCACCATCAAATCGGTTTGCAGCTATCGTCCTGGTTAGGAATATCAAAGCCAGTTAGGTGTTAGGCTTATCCCAGCTTCCAGAACCTTTTCTTTATAGGACTAGGTTTTTAATTATATGCATTCTCTGGCCTGTAACCTCAGATCTGTTATTTGTCATGGACCTGTTTCAAAACTTGTCTGAGTGTTTGAAAAGACTTCACCAGTCTCAGTGACAGCTGGAACTGTCTTTGCAGCCACAGTCTACCAGCAAGACCAGAACCGTCCCTCATAGTTCCATACATATTAAATGTTCAAATTGTATCAGAGCACTTCCAGTGCCTCCCTTTGGACAAGGGACGTATTCCAATTTTGTTGTTGCATTCAGGCTGAAGTAGTTGGAGGGAAACCTCCATAAATCCCTGTTTTATTCTTCTTCCACAAGCAAAGCTATGCTGCCAAGTTATTAACAAGGGGCTTCCAAAAAACAACCCAGGGGAGATCATTCCAACTTTTAGACTGCTTGGCCTGAGCCTTATTAATAAGGGGCTCCTGGAGAGCTTCCTCTATTCTACCACGGGATTTCAGCAGCCTGTGGGGATAACTGTAAATTCCCCAGAAGATATTGCTCCTACTGTTTGTCTGGCCATGCTTAATGCTGAACCTTTTACTGAGGCCCTCTGAAATTTTCCTCCCCACTGAGGTTTCTGAATGCATGAAGCCATCATAGGAAGCCAGCAGCGTTAATGCCTAGATTGGTTTTTATTTATTGAAACAATTTATTATAATAGCAATAACAACCTTGGCCTGGGGCATTTCCTGGGGAATTAATGGCAGTCTGGGCTGATGCTCCCAGCAGATTGTTAGCCCTCAGGAAACAGGCTCCGTAATTGCTGCTGGTTTGGTTGGAAAAACAAAATAAAATGTGTTTCTAATTTTTGGCCAGTTTGAGTGCCTAGAAACTGGTGGCTTTTGTATAGAGGGTTATAAAGAGCATATATCTTTTGTCTGCATGGATTAAATTCAGGCTTGAATCGGTGACACTTTCATCAATTCTTTCAGTCCAGAAAGAGAAATACCAGGAAGGGGAAAGGTAACCACAGCTAAAGAGATCGACAGCAACTGGGTCCTGCTAGAAGTTCAGGAGAAAAAGATAGCTCTGACCTATGATCTACAGCAGTGGGAGATAAAGCTACACTGGTCAAAATCCAGTTTTAACGGGTGTACACACATGTACGAATGCATATCAAAATCATGTTAACTCCTGCTACTAATGACCATGTATTTTTAAAGAGTTTTTTTCAAATATAATGAGTGTTTTGAGGAGCTTCAGTGTTGACATGAATCTGAACCACCTTTGAGTTTTTGGAAGATGCTGAGCATCCATTTGCTGAAAAGGATGCCCCTTTTTGGTCTTTGCAAGTAGAACATGCATTGGGAGATGCTCTCAAAATCACTAATCAACTGTCAAACCCCCAAATCGAGGCTATTGCTGACTTGGCTACTTCAACTGAGAAATAGCAGAGCCCATATTTTTTAGCTTAAGTTGCTCTTTCTGCTGTGAAAAAAAGAGGTGTTGCCGTGCAAGTGGATTGTACATATGATAAATGCCAAGGCTGCAGTTGAACGTAGGGTTACAGCTCAGTGAGGAAGTCCAGACAGTGTCTCAGATGTTGACAGAGTAGCTGTAGAAGCTCATAAATGCCACTGGAGCCCAAAGATTCAATTACAACCATTGCACTGCATGAAGGGCTATACATACTAGCACAAACAGGGGATGAAAAATGATTGCTTAAGTAGTAATTGAGGTGCAGCTTGCTCATGAGCTGGGTACAGTAGCATGGAAAAGGGAGCGTGGAGGAGAAAGGAAAAGCAGGGCATGGACAAAAACGGGGGGGAAGAGAAACTGCATGTGTCCGTGTCTCAGGCTCCAATCTATGTTCTTTTTATGAGTTGCTTTAAAAGAGTGAGCAGTGGAACTAATGCAACCAAATCAAGCCCATGTGTGTGCAGGAACGCAGTGGTCAGGGAAGTGTGCCTGGCATCCTGTCAGCCGGGCGGAGTGGAGGCAGACTGGACCAAGCTTCTTCCAGGACAAACAGATCAGTGCTACTCATTTGTTCTTCTCACACTCCCACATTCTGGGTGTCCTCTTTAGGCCTATTTGCAAAGAAAGCTTTGCAATTACCATCATGACTTATATTGCACATGGAGGTAAAAGCACTATGGGGTGGTGATTCTGTTTTTCCTGGGGTTTTCAAATCTCTGGAATTTAGGACACTACTGTTCACACAGTACCAGATGGGCAGCAGCTTTGCTACTGCACAAGCAGGGCTGCAGTTTTAATTCAAGTTCTGCCCCTTGAGTTGTCACTAACTTCATTGGAGCCAGGATTTCACTCAGCCAGACTGCTACAGGAGCCATTGGCATATCCTTCATGCCTGCTCTGGCATCTTCTCTTTTGTCTTTGGATTTTTGCTGTCTCACTCTTGTCAAAATATCTTAGCTTAAAACCTCTGGCTTTGGTCTCACTTGACTTTCCAAGTACTGCTGCATTTCTGTCCTCTTACTTTTTTTTGGACTTGTTGAATGCATCTAGTGCAGTTTTCTCCTTTTTTTTTTTGTAGTCTCTCTTGAGCCTGTTTCTTTCCTATACGATCCACACCAAACACTAGCACATCTCATGTTTTATTGGCCAGATTTCAGGCTATCATGACATCTTCCTCCACCTTAGCTTGTCAGTCACCTTTGAGATAGGTTTGGTAGGAGACAAGTGAAGAGCACAAAGGCGTTTTGTCCCTGTAACTGTTCCATGAGCATCTCCAGGCATGGAATTATGCATTGCCTTGAACTGTGCACGTCAGAGTTTGGGTTCTGACCACAGAATCAGAGAATAATTTAGGCTGGAAGGGGCCTCCAGGGGTCACTTGATCTAACTCCCTGCTCAGAACACGGCTAAATTCAAATTTAGAGCTAGTTTTGAAGTTAGGGCAGGGTCTTGTCCTGTTGAGTTTCGAGTATCTCTGCAAACTTTGCTATAAGGAAATCAGCTGGAGAGGGCAGTTTCTAAAAGCACAGTGGGAGGAAGTGAAGATAGAGCAGAGCCTTTTAGTTACAGAGATCTTAAGGGGCTGAATGTCAGGCTCTCAGCTGGTGGGAACCATTACAGCTCCATCACTGTTACAGCTCCATCACTGAGTTCAAGGAAATAAGACTCATCTGAGGAACTGATTCCATCCTTGAACTCAGGACTCCCAACAGACCCAGTGGAGTAGAGCTGGCCTTGACACTTCTTCTGGGTTCACCTTCACCCATTCAGCATACCTATAAACCAAGATGATTAAGCCCAGGGGAATTGCAGTAGCAATGTTTATCATAATTACGCTTCTAAGTACTCCCATGAACCAAAAAAAAAAAAAAAAAAGAAGATAGTAAATAAACAAGATGACCTAGTTTAAATAGTTTAAAAGGCATTGTGGATCCTTTGGAGTCTTGTTATATCACCTCTGAAATGTGGCTATGCAGGATTCATCCCGTTCGCGCGCTGACTCCAGCTCTGCTTGTGTAGCACAGGTATACATTTTGGTGGTCTGGGCGGAAAGCCAGCATGCATTTGCCTTAGATAAGCAAATGAAACCTATGAATAAATAATATGCATTTTTTTCCATGCTGCAAGGCTTCCCATTTCAGCTGGGCCACAGCACAAAGGGTGTATAAAGCTTTGCAATCATCTTCATTCCTCATATGATGATGATGGATGTGACAGAGAGATGCACTTTGCTGCTGCTGGGTGTGCGGCACCCTGGTGTCAACCCTGCTCGGGCAGCCACTGGAATTAGCATTTAATTCTGCGGGCTGCTACTTCTCCTTTCAGACAACTCCAAGACACGGCTGCAGCGAACCCACATTCTGCAAATGCCTTGGCAGCCAATCCACTGTTTAAATCCCCCTTCCTGATTTCCCTGGGAGGGGGGAGGCACAGAGGAGCTGTGTGTGTTTTGTTCTTTTAAGGGTTGTTCTTGACAATCATTTCAGAAAACCCCGAGCGGGCTGCTCTGTATTTTGTCTCCGGAGTGTGCATTGGACTCGTCTTGACCCTGCTGGCCCTGGTGCTAAGGGTGTCCTGCCGAACTGACTGCAAACGCTCCTCCGCGAAAAAACCTCCTCGGGAGCGGGAGAGCGACAGCGACAGCAGCGACAGCGATGATGATTCGGACACCACTTCGGACCTGTCTGCCCGCAGGCACCGCAGGTTTGAGAGGACTTTGAACATGAACGTCTTCACGTCGGCGGAGGAGCTGGAGAGAGCTCAGCGGCTGGAGGAGCGGGAGCGCATCATCCGGGAGATCTGGATGAATGGCCAGCCGGACATCCCAGGGACCAGGAGCCTCAACCGTTACTACTAAGCGATGGGGAGTCCAACCGTCCTGCCCTGCACCCTGGGGCTCCTCTGCACGTCATAGAGGAGAGGGAGGGAAGGAATATTATGTGGGTGTCTCCCCTTTTCCTTTCAGGCATGCTACCTGGAGCCGTGTGGATGGACAGCAATAAAGCTTTCCCTGTCTCCTCCTCCCTGACATATTGCTATCACCCCTCTTCACGGACACTTTCTGGTTATAACAGAGGTGTTTGCCAACTTCATTTTTAGTAGCAGGCAGGAAGGTGACAATTACAGTCCTCCCATGTGGGACATGGAATTTGGCATGCTGCAGTACGAGTGCTCCTCTCTTGGCTGGGGAGAGAAGTTGTTTTGGTGTTCATTTAGGATTTTTTGGTTTCCCTTTCCTGAGGACTGTGAGAGAATTGTGAACAAAATGACAAATCTGGAAAGACGATTTGGGAAGGGAGGGGAAGGTGCATCCTGACCAATTGTCTTGTGACTTCAGAAGCCATGAGATTAACCTAATTAAAACCCAATGGCAAATATGACTTGTTAAGAACTGGGGGATGGGGAGGGAGGAGGATTCTTCCATCATGAAATCATCTCGGTGCTTGGAGGTTTGCCATAGTGTATTCAGTTATTTATGGCTGTCTTTTCATCTTCCTTTTCTATGGGAACATTTTTTTTTTTTTTTACTGACACCTCAGGGATAAAATCCTTTTTTTTCTTTTTTTCTTTTGAGTCTGTTTTCCCTGCTGGCCCCTGACAAAACCCAACCCACCTCCAACAGTGAAATTATGGTAATATAAGAGATGTGTCAGTGACTGGTGAGAAGTTAACAACCTCAAAGAGGTTGAAAAGGGTTTTTTCTTTTTGTTTTGTTTTAAATATATATATATATTTGAAGATGCTGCACAGGAATGTGCCTTATTCTTTTTTTTTGTTGTTGTTAAACTACAGTTTTCCTATGGATAGCAATGCACAATGTTTTATATATTTTATTAAAAAAATAAAAAAAATAAAAGGTCTATGTTTACCAGAGGAAAATGGAGACAGAAGCAGCCACATATGACAACAGAATGGGTAATAAATGCTAAATAAACTCTGGTTTGCTTCAATACATTTGAATTTGCATCCTCACTTTTGACATAGGTGTTACTCGAGGGAGATGCTTTGGAAGACTAGCACACCTCTGCAGACGATCAAGACTAATGTCTTCTGCATGCAGGAACCTGGAGGCCCTTTGTCCTTTGGCTGCAGTCCATCAGTCTACTTCTGTGGTTCACATGGGCAGGAGCAGCTGAGCAATGTGTTGGTTCTGAAGGGGCCATCCCAAAGCCTACCTGCACCAAGAGAAAGAGTCCCAGTGATTTCATGAAGCTTTGAGTCTGTCCCCTAGACCCAAATCATACCTGGGCCAGAAGCAGATGTTAAATGAATCAGGAAAAAAAAAAACCAAACCAACACCAAAAATCAATGGAAAAAAGGTGAAATATATTTTAGTGCTCCTTCAGTTGTCTAATGGAGTGTTCAATGGGATATCACCACTCTACTCACTATCTACGTGCTTGTTAGTCACTCCCAAGCACCAGTTCACTTCAGTCTTAAAACTTGGTATTTTTCAAGTCTGAACAACGCTGCTTTAGCCTGTGTGGCTTTGGGATGTGCTTCTCAGTCACTTAGTCATGCTTATGTCTTAAGAGTTCACAAAATGCCGGCAAAGCAAATAGTGACCAAAAGCTCTGAATGCCCAGAGCCTCAAGGAGAGATGAAGATGGGTGGACCTGCCCACAAGATGACTGGGGAACGTTAAAGTGGGGCTGCAAGGGTTCACGTGCTGTGCCAAACAGCTGCGTGGTGGGACAGCCCCCTGACACCAAGGACCTTCTTGGCACTCTTTGGGGTCACTGTGGGACTCCTCTGGCTGAGGAAAGCTGCATTTGAAGTGCCCGCAACTACTTCTCCTGGCTCTTGCAGGGTGAGAACAAAGTTCTGCAACTGGTGGTGCTGGTAACATCAACGATGAGGCCAGTAAGCGAGAGGTGGTTTCACCAGGGAGGGCAGTACTAGTACTGCAGGGCGATTCCTGTTCCTGGGCCTGTGAAGGTTCAAATGGAAAGACTCAGTCTTGACCTGGGATGTTATTTTGCAGCTGATATTTTGAAATACAGCAGGGGGCAGGTCCCAAACCCTGGATGCATTGCCAGGTGCTGTGCTTTAGCTGGAACGTTGAATGCACTCTGCTGAGGGTGTCAAGGAGCAAAACGACAGGATGAGGTCAGTGGGATCAATTTTGTTGGCCGTGTGGTTTCCCCTATAACAAGATACAGTCCCTCAACCTTGGTGATTAAAGGACAGCAAATTTTCAGATTTATATTCCTATGTCCTGGGAGATAGATTGCAAAACTGATTATAAAAATGCTATATATGGGTTTATATACCTGATTTTCCCAAATGAATTTTTTTGACTAGAGGAAAGAGCAAGAGCGGTAAGTCTGAGTGTATTTTGTATGCAACTGAGGGATTAAAATACCTGCTTCAAATGTAAATCACAACTGAACCCAAGTTACAAACAGATGAACAATCCTCCTTTAGCATTGCTAATGCTGCTATAAATCTTCCGGCCAAAGCTTGCAATACAAAGGAGCAGGTTGTGGACGTGGCTTTTCAGAGTTGAGCAAACAAGCCCAGCTCAGCCTTGCCCTAGGAAACAAGATGTAACAAAAGTAGACTCACCGTCTTCACAGCACATGCAGCACTTTTACATACCTTCTAGCTCCTTTTGTCTAAGGGCCATGCATTTCTAAAAAGGCTTTGACTAGAGAAAAAGAAAAATACAATCCTTTGAGCTACTGTAAGTAAAAGACTCTAAGTCATTCTGTAATTATTCCTGGATTTGTCCCAAAAGTGCTGAATATTTGTCTGGGGGAAAAAACATAATCAAGATTTGTGGGGCAGGAGCTGGTCGTTTGCCTTTAGCTCTAGAAACCAACGGAGCCAAAACACTCACCTGGAGTATTGAAGAGCTCGATTCACTGTGGGAGGGGGTCAAATCCATATATCCCACGCCACAAAAGAATATCTTAAGCACGCAGAGCTTTGGACTTGTCTGTTTTCAATCTCTTGTGTTGTACTCACCGTGTCATATGAAACATTTAAACACTCGTAGAGCCAGAGAGCAGAGAATACATACTTTTCTACCAGGCTAATGCGAACCCCTCCTGTAGGAGGTTACGCATAGCTCTGGTTTCTTACTTCCATGCTTTAATTTTTACATTAAAGTGAGATATTGTTTCCAGAGTAAGACTATCCAAATTCCTGTAGATGGATAAAGGAATTAGAATAAACTTTTTCTGTTTCAAGAATGAATTTCCTATTCAGTGACCTTTTGGATAAAACGATGCTGAGGTCATTTTCCATGTGAATATATTCTTTATGCCTCAGTTTGCCTTGATAATTTTATATCAGAGGATAACAGAGCAATCCTGGACCCTGAATTGCTTGGCCAGTTGGTAATAGGAGGAACTACATGTTCTTATATTTAAAGGAGACAGCATTGCTGTTGCCATGTACTGTCTGCTGGGTTGCAAGCTCGTGGCAGGTGAGCTTTGGGAAGCGAAGTGCCTGTGCTACATACCTGGACACTTTCATGCTTCTACAACTTAGAGGATACTTGGATTAGTAACCACAGAGTCATTAAATTACAGTTTGAAAACTTGTACCATGTTAGGTTTGTAAATGAATGTGATGGGTTGGAAAATTAAGGGTCCTTCTCCTGGAAGAAGCTGAACATGTGCAAATGATGGGTCAGACTTTCAAAGAGTCAACTGCACACTCGTTACCGTCCTGTCTGGTGGGACAGATGGGGCTGGTTGCAGAAGAAGACAGAGCTGCATGTAGAGAAACTGCAGAGAGGCAAGTTGTTCCAGTTAGATAGCTGCTATCCTCTCCTAATCACTCCCCATCGCCCTTGACTTCTCAGGGCCATTTTCACCTCCTGCTATCATCCTGTCCATCAGCACTGACCTTTTTTGCGGACCTGTGTTCAATGTACCCTGAAAATCTCGGTAATACAGAGTTTGCTGCCTTTCCCATGTCCACCCTGGTGTTCATATCCTTGATGAATTCCAGCCAGTTAATGAGGCATGCCTTTCCCTTCCAGAAACCACAGTGCCACTACTTAACCCCTTGCCTGCCATCTTTCCCAGCACCCCAGGGGCTACACAAATAAAGCAAGCTCGCTTAGCTGTGGTACTGCCAGGATGTAAAGCATATGCTCGTGGTGTTGTGGGGAATCCAAATTTCCTCTTGTGCTGCATGGGCTCTCTTGAGTTTCTGCAGGCATCACAACCAATTAATCACCTCAGACTGGCCCAGAAATTCTTCTGCTCACAATCGTTACTGAGGTCTCCATCATGGTGAAGTTTTGATAATCCGATCTGAGTTTCTAGTGTCCTTAGATACTCCAAAAAATTATTCTCATTGTTGCTTGCCTTTCCTTGTCCACTCATTACAACTGGTGCAGCTTTCCCTCTTCACCTAATTTCCTCCCTTTTCTCTTTATCTATTAGTCTGTTTATGTGGTTTTCTCAAGGAATGTCACAGTTAAGCATAATTCACCAAAAAAGCAGTAATGGTTTTGGTTCATTACACTGCAGCTCACCTTCATGTTGCAATAAGTGTGCGTTTGCTACACCCCTGGTCTGAACTTGCTTACACTGAGTGGATGTGGTGGTTTAGTAGTATTTAAGCAAATCAGTTGCTCTGAGGGTTTTCAGTTACCCACCACTGAATGGACCTATTCCAGCCGTGGTGATGTAATTGTCACCACGTGGAATATTGCATCAGGGATCCCTGGGTCACTGGGAGTTATGTGTTGGCTGAACCATGACCAACTGAAAGCTGCTCAGAGATGTATATGCGACAGATGCTCTGGGAAGTGCATTCTGGCAGACACTTGCTCATATCATGAAAGCCTACCAGTTCCCATGTGGGCCTCTCCAGAAGGATAGGTGGACTTGGCTT